TTTATTTAAATAAAAATTATTTAATGCATGACTACCATTAGTACAAAAAAGTAGGGTTAAATGTCATTGATAGTCAAGAGCAAAAAAAAAATACTTGGATAAGTATTTTATTTCATGTTTTTCAAGTTTGTTCTTTATTTATTATTATAAAAGTAACTATAATGTAAAAATATGGATCTCTTTATGTTAGTTAATGTTGGATTAGGTAAAATAAATGTTAATAATAATATAATAAAAATGTTTCACAAGGCACACACGCAAGCAGCTCATAGTAGCTCATGGGTAATGTAATTCAATAGCGTAACATGACCAGCACATTCCCCAAGTGATTTACAACTTATAATGGCATAAGTAGCATTTAGACACAGTTCAAAGGGCAATAAAACAATAAAATTCAATTATAAATATATGTATACTGTTATGAGTTTAAAGCTACTTAGGATAAATTAATGCAGTTTCATGCTACATTTGAAGTCATTCTAGAAAGAAAAAAAAAGGTAATTTAGATATATTTAGATTTCGTTTGGTTATGAGGTCAGTCAAATTGACCAACGTGAAAACAACCATTTGAAAAGTATTTAGGAGATTTTAGAGATTACATGAATGAAATTTGAGATTTTTGAAATGAAGAAAAGTATTTTTAATCTTAACATGAAAATCACTTTGCACATGGACTATTCAAAACAAATACTCGATATATTCAAGGAAAAATATTTTTTATGATTTTTTGCAAGTGAAACTAACTGAAAGGCTGCCAAATTTCATGAAGATGTACACATTATATTAAAAGTTAATAGTATCAAATCTTTAAAGACTTTGAAGGAGTACAAAGAGGTCATGTGGTCAGTTAAATTGACTGAGCTTGTATGGAGAGAGTTAATCTTGAAATATAATGTCATTAATTCTTTATAAAGATGAAATAAAAATAAGTTATTTGCTTAATGTTCACAAAATAGTTCCATTTACAAAGTCTGCTAAATAAAAGGCCTGATCTTTTATATTTGTCTTATGCTACAGTGATTTAACTATTTTGTTAACTGCTCATCAAAAGAAGTAATATGTCTTCTCTGGATATTGACCTAATGTTTTAATTGAGGTATCTTGATATTTTGTAGTCTAACAAGTTAACTTATTACATTTATTTAACAGTTTAAAAGGCCTGATCTTTTATATTTGTCTTATGCTACAGTGATTTAACTATTTTGTTAACTGTTCATCAAAAGAAGTAATATGTCTTCTCTGGATATTGACCTAATGTTTTTAATTGAGGTATCTTGATATTTTGTAGTCTAACAAGTTAACTTATTACATTTATTTAACAGTTTTTGGTTCTTATTAACTTAAAATATCTTAATGCATGATGTAATTTTGTGTTAAAGCTTGTATGAATAATCAAACTTGAAAAACTGGTTTGGTAAAGACTTAGATGTATTATGATAGAGAAAAAGGTTTTGTTCTTAGTAACTTAGCAACATAGTTTTTCAGTTAGTATTTGTACATGTGTGTGAGCTAAAATTTTTATCTTCAAAATGAATATTTTGCATATTTTCATCATTAAAATATTATTCTTTTACGATATGCAGTCTACCTTAACAACTTACTGTGCGGCAGGAATTCAAGAAAATAGTTCACTATCCACAAGTAAAGAAATGTTGGACAAAAGTCAACTGACTGAGAAAATCCAGCAAAATGATAGAGGCACAGCTACAAGTAGGAAAACATGAAAACAAATTATATATACTTTGTTTATAATGATATCTTTTTTTTAAAGTTAATTTATAAAGACTGTTTTGGAGTTTTTTTAATAAATAAATAGTTTTCCTCACATAACTGCTATTCTTATGATTTTTTTCCCCTTTCTATCATTATTTTGCTTCATTTTTATTTTTGGTTATTGTAGGTTTCTAGTGTTGAAATAGATAAGTTTTAAGAGTATTATAATATGTATGCTACAGAACTAGTAAATGAAAATTAATTGAGTTATATTTAGTTACAGTGATATATACATATTGACTTCCTTACATACTAAAGCAGGACAGTTTGTCAACATGTAAAATTCACTTAAAAAGTTTTGGCTCAAAAAAATTGAAAGTGGCAAAAAAAAACTCATTTGGTGGAAGAGATGGTAAAAAAATTAAAAGCCAGTGAAATCTCTGCCAAGGTTAATTAGCCAAAACCTTTAACTGCTGTTTTCATACAATTTGTTCATAAGTAGTTTATAAAAATGTGTTCAAAAAGCTGATGGCTACTCATTGATAATTCTATGTCAGAAGACAAAACATTTTACTGCATTTTTGGAGTATTGAAAGCACCTTATTGTAAAAATAGCAAGTTTTCCATGAAGAAATGTTTGTATTACACATATTTTAAATATATTAATTATACAGCCACCCATTTATACGTGTAATGTATTTTTTCTCTTTTTTTTTCCATACATTATCTAGTCAAACTCATACATCTTTCACTAGAAAGCTAACAACTTAAATAGCTTACACATAAATGTTGACTCCTGAGGTAGGTAATTTGATGATTTTTAAAGTATAATTTTTAATTATAATTTGTTAATTTTCATTTATAATTATCTAAACCTAATATAATGTGGTACACAAGTACATGTATTTGACCTGATGTATATTTGTTTTGCTATTGATAATTTCTAGATAATATATTAATACCTTTCTGTAGAGAAATTCGAGTAAAATTGTTTGCATACTAGGTACTAGTGAAGGATGTTCTTTTATACTGTGATGCCACAAAGGGTTCTAGTTTTCTGGTAACAGTTTGATGTCTGCTTCTACATAAATTTTTTTTGGGGGGGATTCTTTGAAATATGTAGAAGGTGGTTGGATTGATGGGTTTGATGATGATTTATCATATACCATCAATACCACTCCAGGATTGGAGGACATTGAAGATGTTTCTGAAGATGTGAATATAGGAAAAGAACAAATACTGATAAAAAGGTGAGTATTTTGATACCTGTTAATAATGTGGAACAGTGCAGTCTGTTAATGGAATAACAGAGAGTTATTCTTGGTTCTTTTTGTTAATAATGTGGAACAGTACAGTCTGTTAATGGAAATAACAAGAGATTATTCTTGGTTCTTTTTGTTAATAATGTGGAACAGTACAGTCTGTTAATGGAAATAAATTAGATTATTCTTGGTTCTTTTTGTTAATAATGTGGAACAGTACAGTCTGTTAATGGAAATAACAACAACAACAACATAAAAAGCTTCTGAAAACAAAAACAAGAAATGAAATAAAAGTATGTTTTTTATCATAGGGAACAAAGAAGACCTAACACGTTGTATCAGGAACTTCGGTTCCATGACACAGATGCCCTAGAAGAAGTAGATGATGGAGGTGATATTTCAGGTATTTACCCAATTTGTATTTTTTTTTTCTGTAATTATCATGTCACTTGCTGGTTGTTTTAAGTGCCAGTCTTGCAGATATTCTAACTAAACTTGAAGCGAGAAAAATTATCTAATTTCTAGATAATTAAATGTGCTAAAACACCTACTGTAGTTATGAAAAATTAAAACTTAAGAAGAGAAATATTATATAAAGAAATTAATATATATATACTATTAAAATTATTTTAATTGTTTTATTAATATAAATATTAATTTTGTAGTTTTCAATTATGTATTTTAAGTGAAAAATTCAGTTTTGTAAAATATTTTTTTAACATATATTCATAAAGCATAGCCTTTTATCAGTCTTTAACTAAATTACAACACCAGAATCTTACATGTATAGTATCCTTTTGAATCAGACTTTAGTAAAGCTGATGATTCTGTAAGTTAAATTTAGGTAAAATAGATACAAAATGTGCATGTCCACCAAGTCTGTATCTTTAATTTATTTTCTTTTAGGATAATAATTTATCTGGTGTTTTGGTGACATTCTTCATGTAATCAAAACAAATGTATTTAAAACAGAAATATACACAAACATATAAAGGAACATTAGGTTTCAGGTGACTTATTGTGATAAAAGCAAAATAATTGTTTAATTGGAGATGTTTATTTTTTATTTTGTTTTTCATGCTCTCTGAGGTGGATATGTTCATCCAGGGGAATTTGCATCTGCTGGTTAGTCGAGTTTGAAAAAGTTAAAATATGATAGCTATTATTCTCCTGACTATTTACCAAAATATAGACACTGATTGTTTTCCTTATATCTACTTGTTCCCATCATTTAATAGTCTACATTTATATAACTTGCAAACTCTTGTTCATGTGATAAGCTAATACATGAAGTGTTGCCTCTTTAGTCCAATCGGCACCATGACCCACATATCAACAGGTTATAACAGACAAAACAGCTGATTTTGTACTGAAACCAATGAAGAGATTGAGATGAGTGTTTAGGTTTTTTTCCTTCAGATTCAGTGGATTTCTAGTTAAGGTTATGTTAACCTTCTGAGAAAGGGTACACTTGCTACTTCTCACTCCTTGGGTCTGCTTTGGTTGGAGTAATGTAGTACATTGAATGTATGCCCAAATGGGTTATTGTTGTTTGCTCAATTTACTTATTTTTATTTACATACTAAAACTAAAACAAAATATTGTAAAACATAAAATGTAACCTTTTTTATAATTATGAGTAATAATAGTGATAATTTATTTATAATCAACCCAAGAGTCCTTGGCTCATCTGGGCTAACAACAATAATTAGTATAGATCCTTATCTCTATCTAGACAGTTGGAATGTAAAATCAGTAATTTATTTTACTCTAAAATTAGTATAAGTGATAGTTATAATTCATGTTAGTTTTTAAACTACTGGGATTATATATTATAAACTCTGAATTCTACTGGGTTGAACATCTTTCTTGATCTGTACATAATAACTTTTATTGTTTTTAGAAATTAGAATAACCTCATTGGAAGAATATATGACTGAATCTCCGATTTAGCACGTTCACTAGACTTCTCTCACATTTGAAGTTTTGAAATATCACTTAAATGTAGTATGGGTGGGAGGCTATTTAGCAGGTCCCTATTCTTCAAGATTGGATAGTAGGGTGTTGTGGGTCCAGCAGTGGAGCTCAGGTGATCCATTAAAGATGCATTGTGCTCCTACTGCCAGACTTTATACTGATGATTGCACTGTTACACCATGTCCTTGACCTCGTGACTGATGATTGCACTGTTACATCATGTCCTTAACCTCGTGATACCTTAGTTATTGTGGTACAAATTTATTTTTATTGTTAATCTCACATTCATACATATGTGCTACAGTGACAATTATAGCTCGTAGTTTTGGCAGAAGTAATATGTCACATTTAAATTTACGTTTTTTTGTTTTAAAATGAAATTAAAATATATATTTACCTCTTTCAAAGAATTTAATCTTTTTTTTCCCAGTTTAGAGAGATCCAAAGAGAATATGTGAACAATTTAAGGTTTTTAAAGTTGAATATAGACTAGGATTGGATTTCTGTTCATCTTGGTGTATTAGTCTACATATTAGGTGAATGAGAGTTGGGGATAGGAAGTATACAGTTCAACAGAAACAATTAGAAGCCCTGTTTGGCAACTAACTGATAGTCATGATTGATAATAGTATAGATTTATATTTCACAGCAACACGTAAATCTGAATACTTCTTTAACATATGTTATCTGTTATTATTCATTTAGTATGTGTATTAAAATGGTTAAATCCAAAATATTTATCTTACTGCCCATGTTTCTTTTTTGTCTTTAATTTCTTTCACTTGATTTGTAGTTTAAGGTGAAATAGTTTTATGATTTAAGTACATTTTTGTTATTGATTGTAATGACATAAATTGTGTGTATATTACTCTGTGCATGAAAACTATTAGCATTAAAGCATGTTTGATATATATATATTTGTTGCTGCAAACTGAAAATCATGACTAAATTGTTTTATGTTTCTTTTTCTGTTTTCACCTAACGTGTTTGTTTATTTTATATTGAAGCATGAAGGTCTACTAGCTTAGTATAAGGCTTACTTTAGTAGAAATTGGTAATTAGATATTAATATTTGAAATTTTTTTAAAGAATGTAGACATATTTGGTGAACTAAACTTTCTTGTTCAGATTCATTCACACATGGTATAGTCAGGGAGCCAGTGCTGTGAAAATCAATTTGTGTTTACTTCTAAAGCTGAAATTTCAAATGATCTGCAGAGCTACACCTCTGAGTAGTATGAAATGGGTAGCAATACAAAATTTGTATAATAGGGGTAATTTTATAAGGATGTCAAATATAAAGACATGCGTATAAAGGCCCTTATGTAAATGTAAATTAAAAGAAGAAAGAGATTTAATTTGGAAGCGTAAAAGTTAAAAGTTGAATCAGTTTTTAAAAGAAGGGTAAAAAGAGGATATAATTTATAAGGCATTGATTTCACATGACTCCTTCAAGTGTGTAATTACAATGTCGGAGGAAATTGTTTGTGAAATTTGACTTTCAGTTATCCCATCAGTTGCGTGTTTAATGTTTAATTATTTGTACATTTTTTAAACACAGTAGATTATTCTTCAAAACAGCTATCATGAACATCACAAAAGACAATAGGTCTTTTTAACCTTATGCATAAAGGTTCGATCAAGATGACTGACCTTGTAATCATCATGTAACCATGACACTATACATGCTATAACTCTGAATGTTCTATGTATATCTTCAATAAATTTGGTAAGCTCTTAGCATAAACATTACCAGTCTTTTGTACATAGAAAATCAGATTTTCCGATACGGTACGTTACCTCTACTCACATAAATATCCATACTCGTTCAGTGCTGCCCTCTATATGCAAAAAATTTTGCACATGCCACAAGCCTTGCTGCTTCCACTCATCTGGAATTGACTGATTCCAATGCATCTCACATGCAAATCATCATGCAACATACTCTCTTGATGCAAGTGACTCCCTCTATTCAATTCTACCAAACTATCATTTCTTGTTTTGCTGTACTCGTGTTGTAACATTTAGTTGGTGATCTATTCAAGTATTTTATTTTAATTTTTTCCCATACCTTTGTATTCATTTCTCTTGACAAATTTTCTCTTTATTATACAATAGTGATATTTGTAACTTGTTGAGTTCTTCCAAAGTGGAATTATTTTATATTTCTACCCAGTTACGGAACTTATTACTTCATTACAAAAACTTTTTATTTGTTTCTGCCAACACAGTTGTGTTTGGTTATTCATTTTGCATTATGAATTCTACATTACCACTTCGGTAATTATACGTTCTATTAGCACATTTACAGAGGTTTCAGGTAATGTTACTCTGAGGGAAGATTTTCAGCTATACTTCGTTGGAAGATAGATTGTCCAATGAACTGACTTTCGTCAGGCTTCACCTTGTCTTTGGGGCCTCCACATATTTTAACATACAGTCCACTGCTTTGGAAAGATAAGACCTTATATTGTTATGGTTTTTGAATAATTTTATTTTTAATATCATTAACTGTAGTTACTTGAGTTCTATAACATAAGTTTTGTTAGATTGGCCAATACTCATAGTCCAGTACAGGTTAGAAATTAGGCTTAGTTGTTTCCTTTCTCATTTACCACTCATACTAGGGGTCCTTGTTATTTTAGGAGTATCTGTCATTCATCTTCCTGGTATATCAATCATTCGTTTACCTATATTGTTTTTCTTCCATACATCTCGTCTAATACATAGGTTATTGTTAATAAACACTTATTTCATTCTATAAATGACCATTTATTTCATTTTTATTATTATTATACTTATTGTTAGGTTAAGATTTTTATTTTAGAGCTTAGTGATATCTTTTGACCTGCACTGTTCGATTAAGCTTAACAAGTGTGTAATTATTGGTTTACCTATAGTTCTACTTGCAGATGAATCGCTAATGAAGTTAAATATATTGTTAGCTTAGGCTTAAAAAGTGTCTGTTAATTTCAGTTTACCTGTGGTTATACTTCCAGATTAACCCTTTCCAATTGGGTCACAGGTGAAAGGCCATGTCATCGTGTTTGTTGATTTGCATTCAAAATGTTATTGAACTACTATTTCATGAATTTATATCAATAAGTTTGGTATTAAACTGTAGATTATAATTCAGATTTTCATATTATACATTACTCAATTTCTTAATTTAAAAGTAAATATTAAAGAACACAGTTAAACATCAATTTTTATATGTCACGTGGTATGTTGAATGCATCATTGGTTCAAATTAGATGTTTGTGATGTCAAAATACCAAGTCTATAGTTTTGTAGGAATTAGAAACTCAATATACTGATATTGAAAAGCTAGAATATAAAATAAGAAGATCTTATCTTTTCAACTTGCTAAAATATTGTGCATGTAATAAATCAAACACAGAGGCACCCTGCCCACCTCTTTGCATTTTTGGAAATGCTTCCTTATATACACTTACTTCTATATCTGGCATGAATTTCCAATCAAAAGCTCAGAATATCCACCTTAGTGGCTTTCTTGGCCATTTTAACGTGTTTGGACACCATCTGAGTACAAAGGTCGTAACTGTAAGAGATAATTGTGTGCTATACTTCTTTATTTACTGTTCTGTGTTTTAAAAAAAATAAGTTTAAGAACTTATTTCTAAATAGCAATAATCTGTATACATATATAATGTATATTAATTGAAATGTGACTGTAGTTTACAAAATACTAGTCTACTAAAACACAGCCAAGGCAGGTCACTTTGTAAAGACTAACAGTCAGTTTTATATAATTGGATACA